TATTTCATATATACCTCACATCATGTCACTCCTCACGGGAAGATATGAACTCAATTAATTGACCTCGCTCCCAATGTGTGGCTTCATAGCTGAGTTGGTGGAGCATCGTACCGGTATCGCGGAGGTCACGGGTTCGAATCCCGTTGAAGTCAGTAGTATAGTAAATGACGGTATGAGTGCATTATGCAAAAAACGGCCTTCCCACCCCTCTAGAAATAAAAAAAAAATACCCTCGCCGGGCCCCAACTCGAAACATGCATTTTCAGGCTTCTCAGAGCAACTTCCTTGTCAAGCCCACTCGTGAGCAAATTTTGTATCTCCCACCCGTCCAGAAATCAAAACATCCTTCTGCCAGAAACACTTCGCGGAGCGGGCTCGTGATCAAAATATACTCTTGCCAGGCCTCCAGAAATCAAAAAATCCTTCTGCCGGACATTGCTCCCCAAGTGGCAAAACAAAGCTTTTGAAAATTATATAAATGGAAATCGACAGTTATACAATGGGAATGATGAGTATGAAAAATAGAAATTTTGAAAATAAAAAATTGTCCAACTATAATATAGTAAAGATGAATAAATCAGAATTGAATAAATTGAAGAAAAAAGAATTAGTTGATCTATTGTTAAAAGATCAACGAAAATCAAAAAACCTATTCCAGCACCACGCAAAACTGTGAAACAAATGATACAAGATTACGAGGAAAATATAATTGCGCCACCTCTTGAATTTAGAGCTAAACCTATTCCAAAACCTCGAACAATTAAACTGTACCAGCTCCAAGAACCAAAAAACTACCTGTTCCAGCTCCGAGAATAAGAGTAATAGAATTACCTATTGGAGCTATGTTGAAGGTGGAAAACCAATACCTAAACCTCGTATTAAATCTAAAAAACCAACACCAGTTCCAAGAACTAAAATCACACCTATTAAACTAGCTCTGAAAGATGCTGTTAAACCTTATGAGATTAATTTGAAAAATAAAATTGATCCGCTGATTCAATTACAAACAACCAGACAGGCGATTGGTCATCATTTTAATAAATCTCACTTGGAAAATAGTAAGAATTTCAAATTCTATGAAACTATGAGAATAACCTTCATCAAAGAAGTTCCTGATAATAAACAAAATGATGATGATGTCTAATCAACAATGATTTAGATAAACATATACAGGCAAAAACTAACGATAGATAAATCCGACGTTTCGGCGACATCTTGGCGCCATTGTCAAGGGAAAC